AAAAAAAAAATACATTTCAAAACAAATAACACTTTTCACGAAAAAAAAACTTGACTTTTTTATAATGTATATTGTCACAATTAAAAAGTAAAATATGAGCGCGTAAGAAAATTTATTATTATTTAGATACTGCTTCAACTTGATATTATATTTTTAAAAAAAATAGTCTGAAATATATAAGTCTTCACATAAAGGTTAGATTCAACGTTTATTTAAAACATGATAGCTCATAAGAGAAAAAAACCAATCTATCAATTAGTTATTGATTTAATTAAATAGAATTGTATGAAATTTCACTTTTGATAGATCTCATAAAAAGCAAGGGTCCGAGACGAGATTGGCTCGCATCTTATTTATTCTAACCGAACCTAACTGATCTAATTTTTAAAAAAAAGTTCAAAGCGAACCTATTCTATCTCTGATATGGTTATCCTCTGTCAATCTTGAAAACCTTTCGTTTTTTCCCCAATGAAGTTCTGAAGTTTTATTGTTTTTCTTGGCTCGCCGATTCCCAAAAAAAAAAAGACCGATCATCTCTACTAAAAATCTCCGAATTGGCTTCGTGGGTCGTCGCGCCTCCTCCGTCTCTAATCTTTGCAACCTCACAATATAGATTCTTCTTCAGATCGACGACACCCTACTAGGGATCTGCAAGATGGTTTCAGTAGTTCTTTTTACAAAGAACTAAACTAGACTAGGCATTTTGATGTTTATTATTTTTTTATGATCAGCTATCTAAAAACCAGAATTCTTTAACCATCTCGACAAAATTTCTTCGGTGATCTTAGGTTTGACTTTAAAAATCGGAATTTTGCAATAAATTGTCTGGTTTTTTGACTAAATGACTCATAATATACAGTCAACACATAGCTTTTACCTAAGACTCGGACCGAGATCAGAACCAGAAAAAAAAATTGACCGGGACTAAAAAATAGTGGTTTTGGAGATCCCTGCATCCTACACACTAACTATTCTATTGATCGGACATATCAAATCGTGTGGGTGTTATTAGTTTCGCTGATCTGGAGAAGCACTAGAAGAATATATTATTTTGTTTTAGAACTTTCTCACCTTAAAAAGTATGATAAAACAATGAATAAAATACACTTTCAATCATCAATTTATTTTTCAACAAAAATAAATACACTTTATATGAACTTAATTTATAGTTATTTTCATTTCAATAGAAAATAACATGACAACCAAACTTCATTTTTTCTTCAAACAATCATTCATTTGACACATCTATGCACTTAATAATCCATAAAATATATTCTATGGATTTGTCAACTAGTGTATTCAGACGAAAAGAACAGGACAATGCGAAAAGGAGGGAAAGTGAAAATAATGCTTTCTCTCCTTTGTAAAACAATAGATGGAACCATATGGTGCTGCAACATCATTTGCATGAGTATCATCATCATCACCATCGTCTTGAAGTAACATTTGTCTTTTTTGTTCTCTTTTGATTCTGAATAATGGTCATGCGTCGACGTAGTTTTTTAAAATATTTAGTTTTAATTCCAACTATATGGATTATTGGAATAACAATATTTTCATTTCGTACGGATTTTTCATCAATATCTCGTACAAATAATGATATTCCAATAAATGTTGTCAATCAAATTATATCAGTACCATCATTAGTTGATCGTATTAGAAATGCATTACCATTTAGACACCAAAATATTGATCATGATCATCCATCAGAAGAACTTATTAAAGCTCATGAACAAGAAAGAGAAATGAATGCTAAAGTACAAATTGCTGCACCAGAAGTGAATAATCATTTTGATCGAAATATGAGTGGTCCTGGTGAAATGGGTAATCCTGTACGAATAAACAAAGATAAGTTAACGGCAGAAGAAAGAGGAAAAATGAGTGAAGGATGGCAAAATAATGCATTTAATCAATATATTAGTGATCTGATATCATTAAGAAGAACTTTACCTGATGTTCGTGATCCTGAGTAAATTAATTATTTACAAAAATGTTATTTGTTTTTTTTTTGTTTATTTATAATTTAGATGTAAAAAAGTTGAATTTCATCCAAATCTACCTGAAACATCAGTAATTATTATATTTCATAATGAAGCACGATCAACATTATTACGTACTATTTGGTCTGTTCTTGATCGTTCACCAGCACATTTATTAAAAGAAATAATAGTTGTAGATGATTTTTCTAATAAAGGTTTGTGTTATTGGTAAGTTTGAAATAAATAAAAAAAAACTTTTTATTTTTTTTCTCATAAGAACATTTAAAAAAAATGCTTGAAGATGATATTAAACCAATGCAAAAAGTTCGATTGCTTCGTACAAAAAAACGTGAAGGTCTTATACGAGCTCGTTTAACAGGTGCTTATGATGCAACAGGAAAAGTTTTAATCTTTTTGGATTCACATTGTGAATGTGCCGAAGGTAAGTTACAAAAAACAAAAAA